TTAGGGATTATTGGTTTAGGGTTTAGGGGTTTAGGGTTTAGGAGTTTAGGGTTCAGGATATAATTAAGGGATCTATACTTATATTGACTTATAACCCGAAATAAAAGTACCTGTGCCCATGACCTTACTTACTAGGTCCCATGATCCTGCAACTTTTTAGTTCACGGGGTGAGGTTCAGCGTAGAGATATGACTCTAGACTGGGCAGCTAGCGACTCGGATTCATTCCATCCAGTTCCGTCCTAAATCAAATTTCTGAATTTTGAATGAAGCAAGGAAGTTTCCTGGACGTATGAACCGGGATCCTGGAAACGGACGTACCGGCCGTCCCGGCCAACCCCACGAGCCATAGAACTTGAATCCCTTACAGGGTAATCATGACGGCAGCACATCACCATACAGAGCCGGAAGCCTCAAGAGACGGCGACGCTGCCGATGCTTCTGCTGCTACTGGTACTGCTACCGCTAGTATAGGGGCCTGAATAATTATATTAAGGAACCCCAAAAGCCCTATTCTAATTACTAAGGCCCCTATATTGCTGCTGCTGCTGCTGCTGCTGCTGCTGCTGCTGCTGCTGCTGCTGCTGCTGCGCCCGAACGTTCTCTACATCCTTCGCCCATGGCCAGTAAAACTTCGATGCGATAACTCCGATGCGAGTTTCGATAACCCTACGCCCTACGCCCTAGACATGAGGGGTCCCTTAAAAAGCACTGAGGTGGGGGGGGGGGTACCCTAATGCACGTGCATTTCAAGTTTTTTTCCTTGTTGGGAGGGGGGGGGGGTCTACCCCCCCAAGTGCTTTTCCACGGTTGCTCCATGGCGAATGATTGTACCACTGTGTTGTCCGCAGTTGGGGGAGAGCCCTGTGGCCCAAAACTCGCGTGTGCAAGCTTCATGTTTCTGACTCAACGATGCTTCCCAGGAGCTTCGCCTATCCCAACAGATTGAAAAAACGGGTGTGTCAAGAACCTGAAGGTGTCCAAGTATTTGCTCTAGAGAGGGTGCACTTGGGGTTCGACAAAGCTCTCGTCGATGGCTCCGAAGAAAGTTCTTTCGCCTGCGCTGTGTCTGCGGCTGTCGTACCTGGACCTCTGTGATCAATGCGCTGCGTGGGGCTTGGACGCTCCAGCAGGGGATGCGCTGGCAATCCTGGAAGCCAGGGCTGCATTGGCGAGAGCCATCCAGGACCAGCAGGCTGGGGAGCCTTTCCGTCAACGGTGCGACAACTGAAACTTGAAGCTTGTTTGGCGGCAGGCTCCATCTGCAGCTCCATCTCCAGCGGCCGGAGCACGTGTCCTCGAAGATTCCAAGGAGGCCGTGGAGGCCAGTTGCTTAGCAAACGACCTTTATTCGTTGCGACAGGTCCCAGCTGCAGCTGCAGCACCGCTTGCCATCCAAGATGACGAGGAGGCCAGGGTGTTTGCCTTTACACAGCCTGTCCAGCATACGAAGCTTGAATTTTGTCGTGGGCGGGAGCATTGCAATTTTGTTTCTGGAGAGCTTTAGACCGCACGCCCACATCCTGTAAGTTTGACCCGATGCCTGGCCGACAGGCTCGACCAGTGGAGCAGGCACGAACAGTGGAGCAGGCACGACGTGCTGAGTCTTCCAGGTTTCCTTGCTTTTGAAGACGCGGGTGCATGGCATTCTCGTTCGTTCGACTTTAGGTCCTGCGCACCCGAATCCTGAACGCCCGGACCCCCCCCCCCCCCCCACAAGTAAACGCCGTAGAAGGCTCGCGAAACCTCTGAACGCTGCACCCCAACGTAACTGCCTTAGAAGGCTCGGCAAACCTCGTCTAGCGGAAGAGGGCGAGCTTCACAACTTTTTCCCCCCGGCCCTTAATTAAAGAGCACTGTTCTTGTCTTAGGTCAGACTGTATACCCTACCGTATAAGGTCCTCTGGAAATCTCGGAAGCAGGGTCTACAGTAGGCCTAGAGCAAGGCAGCCCAGACAAAAACCAGGTCCTTGTCGATTGTATACCCTGCCTTAAGCCCTGCAAACCTGTCGGTGCCAGGGTCTAGAGTCGAGAGTATGCCCAGTTTCAGACAGCCCCGCTCCACACCTCGTGCAGGCGTCGGCGCTGGCCTTCCCAAGGAACAGCCACGCAGCGGCGGTGCACGGCCTTGCGCCGCAGAAAGGCGCACGACAATCGCTGGTCCTACCCTGCACACGTCTGAAACACCGCAGCAAACGTGAGTCGGAAGCATAAAGCCCATGACGTGTTCATCTTGTGGGGCTGTGCATGAGGCTAGGGCAGTCCATGCACGCGTGAGCACATGCTGTAGGGCCAGTCTGATTCACAGTTCTTTCCCCGCAGACGCCTGAGAAGGATGTTTTGATCTTGTGGGCTTGGCCTGCACTCCAAGCAGTCTTGTGCTGCAGGATGACCCCACGCAGGATATTGTGGGTCAAAGTCCGTGCAGGGAATAATTTTGTGCTCGCCATGGCGAGCGGAGTACGGGAGGAGAGGGACATGTCCCAGTCGCCTTCCCAGCAGAGATGGACAGCACTAGCGGCGCACGCAGCCGCGTTGCCTGCCAACACTCCTCGGAGGCCATGCAAGACTTGCCCGAGTTATGCGCGGGCGCCTGTGCAGGCCGTGCATGATGCGGGATTCCTGAACAAACTTTTGGCACTACCTGTCGTCTGCGAGTACCTGACGGCACGCGACTGTTCGAGATTCGCATCGGCGTCGCGCGCAGCAGTTCTCGTGCCCGGGCAATGCAAGGAATCATGCGTTCCGTCTCTCCGCGGACGATGGGCCACATCAGCTGACAGGCTCGTTTTGTCTTTGAGCCCACGGGCGATGCCGCAGTTGTTGCGGCAAGTACGGAGGCGGGCTGGGTGTGCGCATGTGTCAGGCCGAGGTGGTCTCCAGCTTTATGCTTCGGCTGGGCAGGCTGGGCGCGCTGTGCGTGTCCGGCGAGTGCGACAAAGAGGAAATTCCGTAGTTTGGGATGGGCAGGCTGGACTTCCGGACACCGTGGCGAACCAGATTGCCTGGCGTGGGCAGGCCGGGTTTGTCCGCGTCTCAGGCAGGTCCGAGACAGGTCCTCTCTCTAGCCTCGTGTTTGCAGGACCACGCGGGGAGCCAGGCTGCTTCGGATGGGCAGGCTGGGTTGACAACAGGCCCAGGTCCAGGCATGCACGCGGCTCTCGTGGAGTGCAGGAGCGGGCGCCGCTGCTCCCAGTTCCTCCGGACGTCTCCAACCTGTATCAGGATGCGAGGCCTCCGCTAAAGACATCCGTTGTTGCAGCACTTGGGCACCTGAAATGGACTGTGGCAGGTGCTGGGTGATGGCACATGAATCGCCATGCCCTGTAGACCGGATCTGGGATGCGGAGACAGCCGCATTGTGTCACCGGGAGGCCGAGGCCTTCCGCTGCAGCGGAGCATCTTGGGGAACTGTGGAATGTGACGATGGCCGAGTGTTCGCTGTCTGCACGGACACCGAGCCTGTTTGGGAAAAGGATGAGCAAGCGACGGAGGAGTGGTCTGACTGGCTTGCTCCACGTGTGGACGCGGCCGGTGGTGTTTGGGTTAGCGGGGCCCTAGGCCTCATGCCCTTCTGGTTCGTGCCTCGGCGCAAAGAAGACGACCGCGAGCCAGAGGAGCCTGTTCAGCTGCAGGAGGCGAAGTCCACATGGGAGTCGGAGTCCATTGCTGATTCGGAGGACCTGCCCATCTGCGTGGCGCCCGAGTCGCACCTCGCTTGGGAAGAGCGAGCAAAACATCCATCGCGATGGCGTGTGACATGGACGGAGGCAGGGGCACGGTGCAGCAAGACTTTTCCCGTGAAGACCTCGGGCAAGCGAGGGGTCTACCAGGCCTGGAAAGCCGCCAAGCGTCTGAAACGCAAGTTACAGAAAGAAGGTTTCATCTGCTCTGATGCGGCTCCAAGGCAAGACTTTACATATGTAAAGCGCGATGCCCGGACAGGCCACTTTTATGTCCAGGTGCAGGAGACTTACCACGGCACCTACAAAACCAGGGCGGAGGCCCTGGCCAAAGCCCGAGCAGTGAAGACTCGCAAGCGTCGCGGGCCCGGACCGACCTCTACCTAAAACAAGACACAGTTCTTCCGGGACACTGTGCTTCCGGTCTAGCCCTCTAGACCCTGGATGGCGTCCGCTCACAGCAGGGCAATGCGTCGGCGTTCCATGTGAGGTTTCGGGGTGGGGACGCGGGGTTCCAGGAATCAGGGGAGCAGTGCAGACGTCGCAAAAAGCCGCCGAGCGTGCTAAGTAGAGCCAGAGTCACAACGCCGTCCCCGCAGTATGCCCGGGCGAGCTTCACAACTTTTTCCCCCCGGCCCTTCAAGAGCACTGTTCTTGTCTTAGGTCAGACTGTATACCCTGCCGTATAAGGTCCTCTGGAAATCTCTGAACCAGGGTCTACAGTATAGAGCAAGGCAGCCCAGACAAAAACCAGGTCCTTGTAGATTGTATACCCTGCCTTAAGCCCTGCAAACCTGTCGGTGCCAGGGTCTGGAGTCGAGAGTATGCCCAGTTTCAGACAGCCCCGCTCCATACCTCGTGCAGGCGTCGGCGCCGGCTTCGCAGGAGCTAGGTTTTGCGCGGGTGTGAGACGCGCCCGCCGTCCACATGGGAGTTGAAGTAGCCTGATGTGTCTATCTATTGGGCCCGTGATGCCAGGGTCGTCCATGCACTTGTGAACGCGTGCTGTAGGTCTAGTCTTAAGGGTAAGCTGTTTCTGTCTTGTGGGACTGTCATGCCAGGGTCGTCCTTGCACGCGTGAATGCTTGCTGTTGGTCTGGTCTGACAGTCGGCTGGCCAGATGTCAAGAAAACAGTTTGCCTCGCGTTCCGCTGAAGCTTGAGGTAGCATGTGCAGCAGAGTGTGGCCAGATCAGTGAGCGCCTGTTCCTTCCTTATCAGAGAGAGAGAGAGAGAGAGAGAGACAGAAATAGATCGGGTTGCAGAGCGAGCAGTCAGAGCGAGAGAGTCCCCGGCCCCTGGAAAAGGCACTTGCGCTCATGCGCACGGAAAGCTCGCGAGCCTACTGCCTTGTTTTCGACGACACTGTACTGGCCCCGGGCTACCACTTGCACCACCACGCTGCCACAGGCGAGGGCAGCATCGTGGGCGGCATTGCCGAGCCATTCCTGTCTCCAAATGACAAGCCTGTGCTGCGCAAAGACGACATGGCCAAGCTGCACCTGTTCTGGTGTTTGAAGCGAATAGACAGCAACTCCTCCTTGTGGTCCGTCCGCGCCACTCCCCGGACGCATTTGCAGGTCAACGCTCGGGCCATGCTGAGAGACCTCGGAGGCTTACTGCAACTCTGCGTGCAGAAGAATGGCACGCCTCCGGCCGTGGTCCCCTGCGACTCGCATCCGACCCACCAGATGTCCATCCGGTGCATGCTGTGTGCCTCCCCAAGCCCTGCGGAAACGTTCTGGCGAGACTGCCGTCAGCCTCAAAGTCTGAAGCTGAAGTTCTTCCCCTTCAATGCGCTCCACTGGAAGACACACCCGCTATTCTGCACTGTTGATGGTCCGCATTGTGCATGAAAGCCATGGCGCGCGCTCTGCGCAGCAGCGCGCGCATCCTTCAGTTTGGAGGTGCTTGGTCGTGCACTGCTTCGATGTTGGAGGGTCCTCGCCCAGTGCCACTGGCGGCTTACCTGGGCAAGGACATGCAGTCGGATGCAGAAGCTGCATGGATGCTAAATGGGGGCTCGCGTGCAGAAACCAGCTGGCTGTCCTACGGGACCACGATGATGCAGTTCCTGATGTCCATGGTTCTGGCACCCTGGCATGCGGCCTCGGCTATGAGCAGGGACCAGATACTGCAGTGCGCACTGACATCGTACTATCTCCTGCTTCTGCTCTGTCACCGAGCATTCACAGAGAACGGAGTGCACTGGGAGAGAACGTGCTTCGCGCGACAGACCCTTCACACAATGGTACAACTGTCAGCCAACGCCGTGGTGCGGTTGGTGCACTGGCCGGATGGGCTCCCATACTTCCCTGAGAAGACAGACGAACACGCCATCGAGGGCTGGTTCGGCTCAATGAAAAACGGTCACCGCGGCAACTGCAACATTAAGGATGGCATCCTGGGGGTCGACAGGCTCCACTTGCAGCAGTACAAGAGGAAGAGGAGGGGAATCTTAGCAAGGGGGCTCTAATGCAGACATTGCCCCCTTGAGTCTGCCAGGCAGATCCGTCTCTTCTTTTGCTAGTTCTAGACTGTATACCCTGCCTTATGAAAGCCCTGCAAACCTCCTTTTGCCAGGGTCTACAGTAGCAGCGAGCCGGCCCCACAACTTATTCCCCCGGCAGATCGCCGGCCCTGCCGTCTCCCCTGAAGTGCAGGACAGACCCAGAGCCTCGCTTCGTGCAGCGGATCTCCTTGCATGACTTGCAACAGGTCTCGGAGCAGTGCTTGGCGACAGCGTCAAGATTCTATGCCGCCGCGTCCGTGGACACGGAGGCACAAGCAGCAACGGCAGCGCTGGAGACATGGTGGTGCGCAGAAGGTCAGGAGCTGGTCTGTGGAGAAGCCAGCTCTAACTTGCTCGTGGAGGACCCAGATACAGAGTCTGATAACGAGGAGCAGCCTGCCGTTCAGAATGAAGCCGCAGAGCCGTCCGAGAGCGTGGATGCCGATGCCAGCGAAGTCTTCCTCTCGCTTGAGTTCCAGAAGCAGGTGAAGCAGGACATGCAGAACCTCATGCAACCTCCGAAGGATTCCTGCGCAGAATCTCTGAGCGCAGAGACCCTGCTGGTGCCAGCAGAGTCTGCAGCGTTGGTGCCCGTGGATGGGGACAACATTGCGGAGCCTTTCGCAAAGTGCCGCATGCCCGCAGACATCTTGAAGGATAGCGGCTTGGCCCAATTCGACAACGCCTCCGCCGACGAGCAGGGGGAGATGGCTGCTGTTAAAAGGCTCGCGAGGCTCGCCCAGCATTGTCGCGAATTCATCGACTTTGTCCGTTTGAAGGAAGGCTTTCTGTCGAAGGCGCAGGCGCGAGCCAGCGGGTTTTGTTCATGCAAGATCTGTGTCGCGCATTGGACATGAAACGCATGTTGGACCCAACCCCTGTCCCTGTACCATCAGGTCAAAGGCGCACACCGGGAGCTGAACCAGCAACAGTTGCTCGAGCATTGGTTGGCGGAAGCCCGACAGCTGATGGAAACAAATTCTCAGAGGAGCAGCCGCTTTGCTGCTTGGGCGACTTTCAGTCAGAGGTGCACAGACATGGCCTGCGCTAGCGATGGGCAGGGAAGCATCGGCCTGTCCTCCATAAAGCAGTTTCGACCTCCAAACCTGCGAAGTGCAGACGGATGCCAACAATACCAGCTGCTGGCCGTGAGGGAACACTCCCTGGCACCGCCGGTCCTCGGAATCGTCACTGCGGTGTTTCGTGGAGGCAAGAAAAAAGGCACCACAGCGGGAAGCCGCCTCGCCGCAGAGGCCTTGGATGCCGCAGTGGCACGCAAGGTGCATGTCGCATGCCTGCAGCCTGCTGGTGATGGCAAGCAGACATTCAGCTGCTCGGTCATGAGCCCGGCCCTGAACATCCTGGCCCAGTCTGACTCCATGCTCCTGGAGGTGCCGCCTGCAGAGTACGTCGTCGAGGACACCGCCAACAAGCTCACAGTGCGCCTCTCCAAGCATGCACTGAATGCCTTCCTGCAGTTGCGCAAGGGCGAGGTTCCGAACATGCTGCCGGAGAACAAGGACAGCAAGGATGCCAAGCCGTTCTTCACTGCAGAAAGCTTCCAGGGATCGGCTCGCCATCGGAACATCGGGAAGGCATTGCAGGTGTGGATGGAGAGTCTCGGCACTGAAATCCAGATTTCTGGTACCTTTCCGGTTTTTTTTTGCAAGTAATCCTGCCAGTGCGCGCCACTGTGCTTAGTCTCGCCCGGGGCAGCTATCAGACCAGGATGTACGAGCGTGTCTGGGGCGTGCGGCTCGTGGATGAGACTGGCCGACTACAGGTGAAAGGGCGTCCGGACTGGCGAGCCTTCGTAGAGAGAGCTCCGGGGTTTTTGGTGGGGCGCTGGACCGCCGGCAAGAAGGGGTCCAAAGGACCCGGCTTCGGGGGCTGGTTCATGGAACAGCTGAGATTTTACATGCCAACTAAGGCTTCAGATAAGTCTCGGCTGCTGCATTGGTTCAGCGAAATCAACCGCTGCGCAGCAAAAGAGCTGCCGGCGGTTGTGGCACCTGGATGAAGTTCGACGGGGCGGACAAAACAAGTGAAGTCTCAGAGCATGCATCTTGTGAAGGATGTTCAAGGTTCAGGCGCAGGGGGTGTTAGGGTTTTGGGACTGTTGTCAACAGGCAGGTGCAGGGATGTTAGTGAGGGTCACCCACTTCTGACTCAAGCCAAGTTCTTTTCCGGCGCCGGGCCCCGTAAAAGCACTTGAGGGGCCCCAACGACCCCCCATCACACACACACACACACACACACATATATATATATATATATATTATATATACATACATACATATGCGTATATGGAGGGACACGAACCTGCTAATGTAGGACCCCCGGGTCTGAGCTCCATTCGCGAACATACAGGTCAGCATCGATCAAGCATGCAGCTTTTTGAAAAGTTATGTGAAGCTTGTAGAGTTTAGGGTTTGGGGTTGCAGGTTTAGAGCTTAAGGTTTAGGGTTTACGGGTCAACCCTCCTATATGAAGCATCAAGCCCAGCAAACGCCCCCCGAAACCTCATTCTAATGATCAGCACCACCGTATAATTATGAACACATGCACATTTATTCAGGCTTGGAAGCGTTCCAGAAGGCGCAAACGGCAGCAGGGTTTTCAAGTTTAGGCCTTCAATGTGTTTGATTTCGCCGGGTTTTCGAGGTTTTTATTCCGTTTTTCGGGGTTTGAGCGACCGCGTGCCGTCAACGACTGTCTTGACTCACAAGCCTTGCGCTAGAGTCCTGCAGCCCGGGGGTTTGAACCCGTCATTTTGCGGGACTTGAAAAGATAGCAGGTTTTCTAATTTGAAGGCTCCGAGTTTTGGGTCTGTCGTTCTGCGGTTCAGCAGTTGGACATGGCAGATATTGGGTGGAGTTTCGAGTGCCAGGCACAGGGACCGCCAATCCCTTCACTTCACTGTTGAGCTCCAGAGAGCCGCCCTAAACCTTAAGCCCTAAACCCCTAAACCCCTAAAGCCCCTAAACCCTAAAACCCTAAGCCGTAAAACCCTAAGCCCATGCTTGAAAGTCCTGACCCTCAAGGCCCGAAGCCCTAAAAACCGTAGAGCCTCACGTCGAAGCCACTACCAGTCTCCTTTTAGAATTCCCGGCGGCTCAAAGCAGTAGGGTTTAGGGTTTAGGGTTTGAGGACTTCAGCTTCTGAATTTAACGGTCTCAGGGTTTATAGGCTTTAACACCCTGAAGCCCCAAGCCGCACCCGCTTCACCCGAGAGGTGCAGAAGGTGGACTACTCCCCCCTGCTGACAGTGAAGTTCTGGATGGAAGCCTTTGCATAAACGGTGCAAGGTGGCCAGTCAACACCGGATCTTTCGCAGATATATAATATAGTTAGCTCCGTTTCGAAGGGCAATGAGGCGGGTAAACAATTTATTTTGTTGGTGGGATGGTTGAGTTTGCTTTTGGAGCTCCTGCTACCTCATCATACTTTATGTTGGCTTTAACCTTTTGCTTCCTCATTTTCTTTTTTGTGAGGGAGTTCTTTGTTTTACTCACTTAATTTTAAGGCGTCGGAGTTCGTAGCAAAGCAGTACTTATCTGTCGATATGTGATCATTTCGTTGACGAAGACAGTCTGTGGATGATCGGCCACCAGGGCTAGTGTTGTCCTGATTCTGAGATACTGTGGGCAGAAACGCATGTGCCCGCAGAGCTCAACTGACTCGACGTGTCAGCGGAGCCGTTGCCATGCCGGCCAAGGTAGCCTTCAAGCCTCATAATGCACTTGTAACTTTCAGCAACCAGAGAGATTTCCGGTGGTTGTTCCACTACACAAGATCCTGTTGGCCTCCGTTTGTTTGCAACACGGGAAGCCCGTCCAGCTACAAGTCGTCCCTGCGATGGGCCCTCGCCTAGTGCAGACGTGCAGCGCATGACCACATTTGCACTCGCCCGGTGAATTTTGATTCTGGCTGACTCGCTGGCTATCTTTATATACTTTATGCGTAATGCTTTTTGGGGGGTTCATGGTTAAACATACGTGTGTTCATGGGCTGTTCTCAATCGGGTTCCACGAAGTGCAGGTGAGACGTACCATGTTCAAGCAGGGTTCCTACACGTACCTATATATGGTATTCGTAGACGTCGTAGACTATAGGAGACCTAGCGGAGATCGTGGGTTCACGGTACTCTAGCCGTGCTTCATTCTAATGGCTTCCTCACGGCTTCAAGCTGAGAGTTTACCTGTGGGTTTTCAGTCTGGTGCTGTTCCACATTCCCTCCTCATGATGCATTGTTGGGATGTAGTCGCCCGCCGGCAGTAGATTCCCAAACCCTGTCAGGTCATAAGGACATGCTCGAGTCCTTTTTAAAACTCTGCTAGGCACATCTTGACCTTTATGCATAGCACATCAGTGAACCGCAAACACTACACTCCGCAAGCCCTCGGTAAGCGCAAGAAACCTCGAGTGTGGTCACAGAGCTGTGCTGGAACTTTCGGGAAGCACGGGTCATTGGCTCAACAGTTGCCAAGCAGACTCCTCTGGGTTTAGGGATCTTAACCTACTAGGACGGCAGGAAAGCGCCTGCAGATCGGTCTATAATTAAGTCTTCAGTGGCACAAGATCAGATATGATTCCTACAGTTTCCTACGGCTTTTCGAGACTGGAAGTTCTATCAGACGTAATCATCTTTAGCTGTAGTAGTAGTAGTAGTAGTAGTAGTAGTAGCAAAAGCAGCAGCAGAAGCAGGACGAGGAGGCAGAGGAGTTGGTCGCAGCAGTGGCAGTTGAAATGGTGGTGGCGGCGGTCGTGGTCGTCAAACCTTCACGCAGACTGGCATCTAATTCTACTTTGAAGTTCGGTCGTGGGTCGAATGTGATGCTGAAAGCAGATTTTGTACATGAATGATTTGAGTGATTGCTGACGTTACTGTCCATGAGTCCATTTAAGTAGCACTCATCACAAGCTCTCTCAGTGTGTATTCGTATTCGTACGATGTCGTATACATGGTGCCTGTTTGTTCACATGCATATACATACAGATATATACACACTTATAATATATATATATATATATATACACATATGTTTATGTTTATGTATATACCTACACAAATGTACCATATATCTAAGTAGACACATATACACCTTGACTGCCGGCCGACGAGAGCCAGAGCTAACCCAGGAGTGAGCCTGCCATGTCTTCCCCCTGTCGCATGCAGCTACACTTTGGCCGCGTAGCTGCCATGTAAGATCGCTTGGTGTTCCGGGGGGTGTTCCCAAATCGGGTGCAGATATCGGTTTCTTTGCACATCTTGTCTGACTTTTCTGTTATTTCTTTTAAGATGCTGGTTAGTGATAGAAGATCAAAGCGATGACCGGGCCCCCTGTGAACCAGTGTTGGGCAATGCACGTCCGCACTGCCATGAACATGAAGAGGCTGCCGACTCAACGTGCAGCCGGACAAAGGTTCAGGGTTGGCTGCTTGCTGTTGCACGGCTCATACTGCGTGTACTTAGGAGGTGCCATGGTGGGTCCGATGGGTACTTCGTCGTAAGTTTTCCGAGCCTAAGCTCTGCATGATCCTCGGCCGAACCATCTCGCATTCAGGCGAAACGATGAACATACTCAGGAATGCTTTGTGGGTGGTGCAGCTTTCGACGGCTTTGCTTAATGTTCGGCGCTGGTTGCCAGGGTTTCCACTCTGCTCTCCAAACCCAGGCAGTGGAAAGACTGCAATCTTTGGTAGGATTAGGATAGCATTGCATGACACCCGATACTTCAAGCCCCTGTAGCTTGAGGGAAAGGCTCTTTCCTCTCATCGGTACTGCGATCTGTCATTGTTGCAAAACGGCGCATACTGACCTCTGGTGATCGACTGGTGCTGCGACTTGCAACTCAATTATGCACCTAGAGGGATGGACACGTAGTGTGCTACCGTATATTATGGTACAGTATACTGTAGCACAGCATAGTACAGAGCTGTATCGCATATTATAGCTTGATATAGCATACCATAACCCTCAAACCAACATTGATCTTGGCTCAGGCCCGAAAGGGCAGCAGAAGCAGAAGCCTGCGTATGCAACGGCTAAATGTGCCGTTCCACTCAGCAAAGTCTGAGTGAGAGAACGATCTGGGAGTGACAGCCCACACATCACGTCTCTAATTGAAACCAATTTAATTCCGATAGCTTCTCAGTAAAAGAGACGACTGCATATACTGAATTGACAAGGCCCCGTCGTTCCACTTGTACAATTCTTCAGTGTATGCTTCCTCGCTTGAACGGGCCGTGGAAGATAAAGAGTACAACGTGGGCCAAAGGTCCGTCTTCCACCCCCTGGATCTCACATGGGTAGTTCTCTAAAGTAGGGTCCCTTTTTCGGTCCCCAATATAGTACGGCACTCTTATAATATGGACCCTAAAAGGGGCCCTAATTTAGAAAACTACCCACATACTCATGCAAAGTATATCTTCTCGAGCTCGGGACAGTGAACCGCGATACTAAGTTTCCCAGCATGACATGATGAATCCAAGCCAGCGCTGAGTTTCTGAGGGCTGGCTTGCAGGCACGCACCTCAAAGTGTGCACGAAGATACAGGATTCTTTCTTCGCCTTTCGGATTCTGTACACGTACTTGGTATGTTCTCGTTCTTTATGTCATTTGGCTGGAAGCTCACGTGCACGCGTTATTTGTCAGTTTTCGGGACTCCTTATGTCGGTAACTCTCATCTAGCCAGAATCGAAGACGGTTGCGAACTCGGTCGCCCGACATGGCCTGGTCGGGTATCCTTGGGTAACCCCTTCAATCATGCACGGGATTGAAAGCCACCACTAGTCACTATCAGAGCTTGAGCGACTCCATGATCCATGACTACGGCTGAGTCGCAGACGGTGACAACGACGACAATTCCCACGACCACTAGTGCTGCTTCTGTCGGATGGCTGCTGTTGCTGCGGGCTATACTTTTAAAGCTAGTACTGTTGCTACTTCTACCACTCCTCCTCCTCCTCCTAGACTGCGCCAATAGTTTACCCCTAAACCCTAAACCCTAAGCCCCA